TAATATTGTTAAATGTTGTTTTATTTAAAATACTATGTAATCCTGATAAATTTCATATTACATTTAAATGTTTTTTTATTATCAACTTTTATTTTCATAACCAGTTCAAATTCATTTTTATTTCGGGATTTTTTTTTCTACTCTATACTAATGCATCGTTACGATAAGCACTTGAAGAATTTCTTATATTTTTAGAAAAATAATTTTGTGGTTGTATGTATATATTGAAAATAATGGTAAATTTATTTATAGAAACAGAGAAAAAGATCTGATCTGACTCTGTCTATATTACCTTGGAAATATATTATACTCTCTCTCTCCTAAAGAAGAGCCAACAATCTATCTATAACTGATCGTTAATAAAGTTTTCTATAGGCAATTTTAACTCGTTAATAGAAAACCGATCTATTATAGAGCTTTCTGTAAACAATTTTTTGATGATAAACTTTTCTATAGACTGATCGATCATAAAGTTTTTATAGAAAACTGATCGTTCATAAAGTTTTATTAGAAAACTGATCGTTTATAAAGATTAATATTGAAAACTAATCACTCATAAAATTTTCTATAGAAAACTTATCGAATATAAAGTTTTTTATAAACAATTTGATCGATGATAAAGATTACTTAACAAAATTTTTCTATAGAAAACTGATCGGTGATAAAATTTTAAATAGATAATTGTTTGATCATGACGTCTTCTATAGAAAACGGAACGATTATGAACTTTTCTATAGAAAACAGATCGATCATGAAGTTTTCAATAGAAAACAGATCGATCATGAAGTTTTCAATAGAAAACAGAACGATCTTGAAGTTTTGTATAGAAAACTGATCGATCATGATGTTTTCTATAGATAACAGATCGATCGTGAAGATTTCTGTAGAAAACAGATCTAGCATTAAGTTTTCTATAGAAAACAGATCGATCATGAAGTTTTCTCTAGAAAACAGATCGATGATGAAGTTTTCTATAGAAAACAGATTGATCATGAAGTTTTCTATATAAAACAGATCGAACATTAAGTTTTCTATAGAAAACTGAACGATCATGAAGTTTTATATAGAAATCTGAATGATCATTAAGTTTTCTATAGAAAACAGATCGATCATGAAGTTTTCTATAAAAAACAGATTGATCATGAAGTTTTCTATATAAAACAGATCGATCATGAAGTTTTCTATAGAAAACAGAACGATCATGATGTTTTCTATAGAAAACAGAACGATTATGAAGTTTTCTATAAAAAATGATCGATAATAAAGTTTATTATAAAAAATTTATGGATCATGAAGTTTTCTATAGAAAACTGAACGAATATGAAGTTTTTTATAGAAAACTGAACGATCATGAAGATTTATATAGAAATCTGAATGATCATTAAGTTTTATGTAGAAAACTGAACGATTATGAAGTTTTCTATAGAAAACTTATCGATGATGAAGTTTTCTATAGAAAATAGATCGATCATGAAGTTTCCTATAGAAAATAGATCTATCATGAAGTTTTCTATAGAAAAGAGATCGATCATGAAGTTTTCTATAGAAAACTGATCGATCATAAAGAATTCTATGAAAAATTTATCGAATTTTTTTATAGAAAATAGTTGGATAATAAAGTTTACTATCGAAAACTGATCGATCATGATGTTTACTATAGAAAACTAGTTGATCATGAAGAAATTTCTACACTTATTTTCATACATAATTAAAGTTACAAAATTATTTTTCTAAAAAACGAAAATCTAACAAGATTCTGCTAATATTTTCCGTTAAATTTACCATGATTCAGGTTGTCTACTAAAATCTAAACATACGAGTGCTATTATTGCTTATCTATATACTATCGTTTTACTTTATGTTTGTTTTTTAATTTCATATGTATAATAAATACTTAATTTTTGTCATTACATATTTGGGAGATTTCTTTGCCATCACTAAGGGTTTTTATAATGTTTTTTCTTTTAATTAAGAGGGTTTCATACATGAGCTGATACTAAATCTTATAAACTAAGTTATTTATAATATTTATTAATAATAATAATTAATTTTAATACACAGTTAAAAAGTATTGCACATTGAGTCAAGCATAGAAAGTTGTTAAAAAAAATGAGAAGGGCTAAATAAATAAAATGAAATAAAGGATTAGAAGAACAAACTAAATAAACAAGACATAAGCTTACCGTTTTTAAATTAGTTAAAAAATAAATAAAGCTTAAAAAAATCATAATAAAACAAAAATGTTTTCAAATTGGAAAAATAAAATTTTCGTTTTTTTATTAAGATTGTTATTACATTATAATAATTATTGCATGACGATATTTAAAATTATTTTCTGTTTTTTTTTCTTTCTTTCGAATAACGTTTTTTTACGGTTTTTATAAATACATCACATAAAAAGTATACAAATATAATATTTGAATTATTAATTATAAAAAAATATGTTGTATAATATAAAATATAGGATTTATAAACATTCGTGGTTAAATAAAAATTAAATTAAAAAAATACTACACTTGATGAGGAAATTTACGAAAAGAAAATATTAAATAATAATTGTTTAACAAAAATTATAATGCAAAAATTTTAACTTAATTATTTTTAATTTTCTGTTTGTTTGTTTTGTTTCGTTTAAAAATATTATTAATTATATTTATATATAAACATGTACAAGTTCAAAATACTTGTTTGGCTATTCGTTGCTTAAATAAAATTTTTTGTTTTAAAAAGAATTTTTTGTTTATTTTTATATATATTTTTTTTTTAAATAATAAATGGAATAGTTGTAGTTGTTTTTAAAACTCATAAAATAATAACATAATAGGAGTAGTAAATAATATGTATATAAAGCATCACATGAGTGTATGTAAAATTAAAAATTTAATACAAAAGCAAATTATAATAAATTTTTATAAAATACAAGGCTAATGCACATTTTGATAAAACTCTTTTAGTAATGGGATTAAATACTAAAAAAACGTATAAACAAAAAAGTTTACAAAATTTCGCTAATAGAGAATATTTAAAACTTAAAATAAAAATGTTCCAATACCTAAACACATTTAACTAACAAACTAAACGCAAATAATATTATATCCCTTTCTATAATTCAAAATTAGACGATGAGACGATGCGTACTATTTGGAAAGCCTTTTGGAAAACTACATATTTAAAGTTTTAGAAAATCGTGACAAAATGTTTGAAAGAAGAAACTTTTGTTTGGAAAACTACCACACACGCCTGTAAAGTATACTTCGCTAAGTACTAGGACTGATGCAAAACTAAAATTGCTATGTTGTAGGTAAGGACCACGTATTCAACACATGCATAACATCAGACTAATCCCAAAACTACTCCCTTGCTAAAATTATGGAAGTTAATGATTCAAATTCTTATGTAATGCAGGCTATGGAACCTGTTGTTTTCAAAAGACTGAACATGATCCATGCCTGCATTATGTAGGACTTTTACACGTATCATTTACTCCAATAATGTTTGCAGGGGATTAGTTTTGGGATAACCTAAATGGATCATGTACTCGATTAATAGTTGCGAAGGAATTTGTTAAAAGATATTTTTAGATTTATATACAATTTGAATAGTTTTTGATTCGTAAAATACAAAAGGAATGTAAAATGTTTGTAAGAAAAGTAAAAGAAAAGTTTCCATGATGAGTCCCATTAAAATTCAATTTAAATATATGACGAATTTTCATAAGGAATGCATAATTTAAATACCAAAAGTAAGTTGTAGGAAACGCCTTTTTTCAGTAGCAAGTCAATTGAAAGTTGAAAAAAATAATTTGGGAAAGTTTTTGAGTCAATCACTCCTATCGCCAATCAACATTTCACGTGAAATATGTTCCCTTTTCACTTTTTTCGTTCACTAACTTTTTTCCCCTGTTGTGAAATTTATTGATGGAATTTTGTAAACATTGAACAGCTGTTGCAAAAAGTTTACGATAAAAATTTTCCCTTCGAGGGGAATGAAAATTTCCAGGGAACAAAAATTTCACTTCTATTGGCATTAGGGGTGAATATCTTCAAAACTTCTTAATAAAATATGTAAAAAGGGTTTAAAATCCAAGATTCCATATCCATCCATTTTCTCCTTTTTCCAAGCTTATAGCCAGATTCCTTAAAATGTCTCTATAGTACGCATCTTTATAGATCTTTAAAAATATATAAAATTTTAAATAAAACTAATAAAATTAAAAAAAAAAAAAAAATAAAGACCAAGAGGGCATATTTAGACTTCATCTTAGCTAAAATTTTTATAATAAATAATCTAATTTTTAAATATTTATATATATGTATATAAATATATGCCTATAACACACATACACACACGTATAATAATTAATAATATATTGAATATTACACTGATTGATTTGATTAAACGTAATAACTTAAGGAAAGAAAGGAAGTAATTTATATGTTTTTTTTAAGTTTTAATTACTTATTAAAAGCAAAAATAAATCTTTATAATTTAAAGATGATTTTTGTAAATTTTTACTTTTTCATATTTTTTTTGCAACATTTTAAATGTTTTTTTTTTGTTTGTTTTGTGTTTGTATATTATTAAATTTGTTGGTGTTGTTTAATTATTATTATTATAAATTTAATTATGTAGTAGTAGTACATATGTATGTATGTAGTTGTTGTGTAAAAAGCATCTAGCGGCATTTTTTTTAATAAGAATTTATAAAGTTATGTTTATATTTATAAAATTCATATTGTTGAGTTCAAAATGCCGTAGAGCGTCTATTATATTTTTTCGTATTAATCGTATTCGCATCTGTGTTTAAGGTTGTAGTAGTATTACAATGATTGCGTACCGTTGTTAGACGCATTATAGAACATGTGCGTTTAGTAAACATATTATTATCAGTTACTGTGGCTGCTGTTGTTGTCTCATTTTTGGGGTAAATCTTTTGATTTGGCACTGGTATTCCATTTGTTGTGTTTGTATGATTGCTGCTGTTGGTTGTTGTGTTATTACTATTAGTTCTATTTATGGTGGCCGTAACTAATGTGGATTGCCTACAATTAGCCCATCGTTGCATTTGATGCGAACATTTCGGAAATAATCATTTACGCCCACCAGAGCCACTCAAAGTGCTCAAAGATTCACCGCGACTTTTTGAGCGTGGCAAAGCAGCTTCTACGTTGTCATTTAAATTTTATTATAGTTTTCATAATAAACAAAACTGTTTCCATTTTTTACTTACCTTTGCTTGTTTTTTCGGCTTTGTAGGCTCTCATTGCTTTGCCTCGTTTGTCCAATATTAATTTATCGAATCTTACAAACATGCCATGTTTGGGTTTACATTGGAAATATTGTATACCCTGAACACTGCCATCATTTTTACCCGTTGGTGTATCAAGTTCAACGCCAATCCATGTTCCCTTTTGGAAGTGTGTAGTGCCCACGTAACTAATAACTCCGCTGGTGTTATAAGGTCTAATTAAAACCGATTCACCAACCACAACCCAATCGGGTAAGGTTACATCAATGTGTTTATCATCTGGAGAAATAAAAATAAATAAAATAAAAAACAATTAGTATGGAGGTTATATGAAGAAAAAAGTCTATAGATTAAAGTTAAAGAAGTTTAATATACTCTCACACCGATCAATACGAGTGGGAGTACAAAGAGCGGAATTTAAAAATGGTCATGTCACAAGGAGGAGTACAGAACATCCCCAAAGTATATCGTTGGTGTCGTGCGCTGACAAATGTACAATATACAAATCAAGTGTAAATATTGACGACACATCTGCCTAAATATCTCAATACCTGGACAATTATCCACTTCAAAATCCATAGTGTTACTTTTTACTTATGTCCTAAGTATGTAAGGATGAAGATGTCGAAGTGCTTTATGTGAACACCTGCCGTGTCCGCCTTATTTCATGGTGGTCTTTTTCATCTACAGGGTGAGCTTCTTTGACGACTCACCACAGCCCCATTGTATATCTTACACGCTGACATCACAGTCGATGGCAGATGTCTTCGAGAGCCTCCTTCAAAAAACAATAACAGCGACGTACAAAACAATTGGTACTTCCTTAGTGCACGTAACTTACATCAACCAAAAGATTCGAAACAGAAATATGGTTTTAAAAGCTGTAGCTGGCACCTCTTGTGGAATGGACAAAGGCAATTGGTTGCTGTCTTTAACCACTCAATGTACAGGATGAGGGTGAGTCAAGATAAAGAATGTGGATCATCTAAATGAGGAAATCTGGTTACTGTCGGTCAGACAACATAAATATTGACCGGATAGTTCCCATCTACCGAGTTACCCCAACTAACGGATTTTGGCCCCGATCCCCTCTCGGACTCATACGGATGACTTTTCGATGCTTTCGCATCGATATCCAAGATGTAATACAATAGGACATCAAAGACTGTCAATTGAAAATGCTCGGGAAACCTTGCATCAGCATGCGGTTTTAGAAGCTCTTAAAAGCTACAAATACAACAGAGTCTTAAATGAACATCCCCCGCGACAACTACAAAGACATTTAAGAACAATACTAGCACAATTAAGATCCGGATAATGCAGTTTAATTGACAGAATAATTCCACTTTCGATCGGAATGAAATTCTGTGACACCCCACAAATGTAGAATTAGAGATAAATGCTAAAATATTTCTTGGTTCCAACATGTCTTATTAATTACAATTCAACTTCTTAATTTACAATCTTTATGTTTGTGTAATTAACCTCAACTTACCCTCAATTTCCATGCTAGTTGACATCGACGATGAAACATTCAAATGATCATTAGAGTTTGACAATAGACCCTCCATTTTAGCCAACGAAGCACGATGCATTGCATTTGAACGATTATTATTGTTATTAATGGTCGTTGTATTTGTAACACTAGATGTCATCAAATCATTACCATTCCCATTGCCATTACCACCACCTGTCTGAGGTGGAGTCTTTTTTCTTCTCACTACTTTACCAGCTGGCAGAGGTGTCCTTACTACACCAGTACCCTCTTCAATAATTTCGTTGCCGTTTTGATTGTCGGTATTTGAGCTGGTATCATTGTTGTTGGAATTCGTTTGGTTATTATTAAGATTTTTAATTGTTTGATCTTGATCATGCTCCTCTTGTGGTTGTATTGTTGTTGTGATGGTGGTGCTGTTGTTGGTAGTATTATTAGTTTGGCTTTCATTGTTGAGATCATTTTTCAAATGCTGTGTCTGCTCCTCGTCAGTGTTGCTGATATTTTCAATGACAAGTTGTTGGTCTTGCTCTGTTTTTGTGGTTAGAGGAGCATTGTTAATTTCTGTTGGCAGCTGTGTTGTAGTTGTGGTTGTTGTTGCTAAATCATTTTGATTTTGTGACTTTGGTTGTTGAAGTTCGGCATTTGTGGGTAGAGTTTCCATGTGTTTGTGGTTAGTCGAGGGCTTTGGCATATCTTTAAGGAATGGATTTACTCGATGCGTTTGACGATTTGGTGGGGAATTCGAATTAATGCGATCAAAGTCTGAAAAATTAGCAAGTTAATTAATTTCAGTTGAAATAATTCACAATAAAACTAAAAGTACCTGGAGTTTCGTCAATGCTCATAGAGCGCATTGATGCAATATCATCATTAGTTAAATTGGTGCAGGAAACAGCCTGTTAAATGTGGAAAATATAAATAAATGAAATATCTTTAAGGAATTTCTTTTGAATTTTTCGAACTCACTTGAGATCCATAACCACTTGAAGTTGATGAACTCATGCTGGGTGTGGCCAAGCCCGTCAAATGTTTTAAATTTGCATTAACATTGGATGTATAACTTAAATAACTGTTATTAGAGTGTGTGCTAACATCCATAAATGAATCCATGGTTTTGGAGGAGGTAAGACGTGATCGTGGCGTTTGATAATTATTACGTTGATTCTTTTCCTGTTCATATTCATTTGTGTATTCTGAATCACTGTAACTATCCTCAGGTTCTTCAGCCAGAGAACGGTGACCTCCCAAGGGTTCTTCATGCAATGTGGTCATACGCATACCCATTAATTTGCTTGTAGCTGGTGATGCTGTGTTTATGAAGGTCATAAAAACCAATATTATTAATCATATTTATTGCTATTATTTAAATAATGTGATGAATGGAGAAATTTAAAAGTTTTGCGTTTACACCTACGTTTTGTTGGCTGTGGCCTAAAGTTTGAATTTAAATTTAAATTCAAAAATGTTGGGCGAGCTGCATTCCATTATATTAAGAACAAGTGATTGATTAATAATTTTAAATAATATTTATAAAAGTTTTTGTTTTCTTCTCTTTTTTACTTTAGAACGACAAATAAAGTTTCAACTAAAACTAAAACAAAACTAAATTTTTCAGGTGTATTTTCATTTTCATTGTCATTACTCATTAACTAAGGGCCAAGCAAAGTGCTGTATTATTTTTATTATTATTATTATTTGTTATTAAAATAAATATTTTAATGCATTTAGGTGCAAAGAAAAGTTATATGCAACTTGAATGAGATGATTTCAATTACCACTCTAATTAAATGGGACAATTTTTGAGTTTATAAGTAATGTAGACTCATTTTGTTCTTTTTTCGCCATATTCGAGACGTAATAACAGCGCGAAGTCACCTATCTTTATACAATTTCTTATGTCGTCTGAAAGACATACATATATATTGGCTTCAAAATGAAGTTTTAACTATTTTATTTTTCAAGATATCATAACCTAAAGTTTGACTAACAACTATGGATGCAAAAAATGTAAACAAATTTCCGCTACATTTTACATGTTTTGGCAATCGCATTTAAATCCTTCAGTACCTGTAATACCAGAAATAGTCCAGGCTTAAATTAAGTGAAAACTGAACTTGTGCTCTTTACAAGAAAATATAAGATTCCAGAGTTCGGTTTAACTCATCTAAACGGATTGGATTCTAAGCTGTCTGATAGTACAAAATATGTGGGAGTTATCCTAGATTCTAGTATATAATGGAACTGGGACACAAAATTGTGTATGGCCAATCTGGCCATACCACCATAATCTGGGAGATTTATCGAACAATATTGACTACTCCAGAACTAAGTCATTTTTTGTGTCGATCCAGTCCAGATGAGATGGTAATAATCCTTCGGGTTGAATCTTACAAGATTTTTCTAAAACCAATATGTGGGAATGTGAGTTTCTTTCAATCTTCATGATCAGTGTAGCGTTCACCAGTCTGAATTAGCAGCTATAAAGCCAAGGGTAACTATATTGTCGAGATTAAGAACACATCGTGACTATAGCTTACTCTTTCTAATGCTATGAGAGTTGTGGTTTTAAAGAAGTGTACAACTGAAGGTTACTCTTCATGTAAAAATGTTGTGTGTGGTATGTGTCCTCTGACTTAAACTTGGAGAATATTCTGGAGGCGTCAAGAAGAAACTAGTGCCACACAGAAGTTGGGAAATTTATCTCTGTCTGACGGTGAGCTTGTTAGCAGTCAGACTGATAAGATAACATCCCCTACTCTAGAGGCCAAGGGAATCCAATGGGGACATTTGCGAGAAGACCGTCCACAGGTCGTTCGGCAAGTAGCCGTGGAGGAGAAGACAAGCGCCCCTCCACGAGATAAATACAATAAAGGCCGAACGAAGGAGGAGGCAAATAACGGGACGTTGAGCTATCCCGCTTTTCTGTCCAATATGGCAATGGCAGATTCTTCAAAGTTCTCGTCATTCTCAGCAGGCACAAATTCGAAAGAATATACGGTGGATGCTGCCCTCAACCTGGCTAACTCCCATAGCAGTGATGGGCCGATCGCATCATCAACCTACAGTCCGCCAAAAGGCAAAGAGGGTGGTATCCCGAAAACCAATGCGCTCATGCATTCGGAGCGAGCTGCGGAGGTTAAAGGTCTACCACCCAAAAACCCTAGTACGGTGGCCAAGACACCAGGAAAGGCAAAGAGGACTGGTAAACTACCGTCTCGCTCTTCTATTCTCCTACTGATCACAGCAAGGAGACCAGCAAGAGAAAGGGCTCCGGGACATAGATCTTCTCTTTATTTTATTCTTTAGGGTAAATTTCCTTAACTAACTTCTTCTTTCTTGTCTTGTTGTAGTGTTTTGCTTTTCTATTTGTGAAACTTCACTCTTTGAAGGGAAACACAATGGACCTTATGGTCTCCGAGTGGATATGCACCATATATGGTGGGTTATACAATTCTTAACCTAAACCTAAAGCGTACTAGAAATTATTCTGTTGTGTATAGAGAGTTTATATTCGAATATAATCTGACAGTGTTTGTGCGACATCAATCTTGAATGCGGGTTACCTCTTAATGAATCTATTAGATTCACAGCTACAGCTACAAACGCTCGATTCGGGACAGACTCCAAAAGCATACACTCTCAAGGTAGTCAAGCAATGCTACTTGCAGAATGGCGAAGATCATGTCATCAATATATAACCCACTACGATCACAAACCTTGTTAAAGCTTTGGAACACAATTGAAGTGCAGAAGCTTTCAAGACGAAGAGGATTATAATCACTTTCTCGATAACTGTCCGGCTGGGGAACTTAGAGCAGACAACTATTTTCGCACGACTTAACGGATTTGTCCGATAACATCACCCGAAAAATAAACTCCTTCATTAGTGCGACAAACTGTTTTGTATAGGATTCAGAGTAATTCTCTTTACAGGAATCACTAAAGCATCAATACGACAGATCCAAGTGTGTTCCAAGTAATGTAAACACGTGGAAAAGCTGCTCACATAACATGACATAACGTGTTTGGCCTAAAAGGGGTTTGTTTTCAAACTTTAGGTTATATATCTTGAAAACGAAAGTATACGGTAGAGTCTAGACCCTGTGTTTAAGCTTTTTTCCGGCCTGTTAACTATTAAAAAGTATATAAAGGAAAATTTCTGTAACTCAATTGGAAAATTCCGAAATATAATTGGAAATGGTAGTAGATTACATATTGAACTCAAAAATAAGATCAATGAAACTAAAGCTGAGTTTAGTTTTTTTATTTAGTACATACTTGATTTTCGAATTCGCAATGTTTAACCTGGTCCACACTAGCAAACTTTTGTTCAGAAACTTTTTCATAATTCTCTTTAGAAGTTTCCTTAATGTCCACACATAGAAACTTTTGTTTCAGAAACTACGTGTTAATTGCTTTGATTTGTTTTTGTACAAATGAGAAGAATAACAAAACAAAACGAGTTTTCGAGTACGAGAAACTTCGTACCGCGAGAGAGATGAATGATATTTCTTTCACTTTCTCTCTCTAGCAAAATCAAAAGTTTCCCAAAAATAGTTTCCTAGTGTGGACCGGCAGTATCATTAATTAGAGTGGTAAACTTTAGAAGCAATGAATTGATGTTGATGAAGAAATTAATGATTTTATTTCCACTAAAACATTAATGTGAACAACATCTAGATCTACAACTAATTTGAAGCATTAACAAGGCCATCCAAAATTAATCTAGATTAATTAAAAGTTTCTTCAATTATATTTTTATATTACAGTTGCTTTACTTTTGATAAAACATAATTTTGGATAACCCTGTAACTAATAATTATATTTATTTAACTTTATTAATAATATATGTATAATACATTAGAGCAATGGAAATTCTTTTCGGCAAATCTAGTAAATGAAGGATGAAGTTGTTATTTTTAAATGAGTTTGATTTTTAACATGATTAATAGACGTGGCGAGGCGAACATTTTATTACCAATGGCTTGTGGATGATTTATTTTTTTGATAAAACACAATACAACACAATACAAACATTTGGTTTTTTTTTCAAAACTAAAAAACAAACAAAACTTAAAATAAGGATCTAAATCAAAAGACAGTAAGTAGAGTGTTTTATTAGACAGATAGAGAGGAGATTACAAACAAAATTAAAAATAAACTTATTTAATAAAGAACATTAAAAGTTTAACGTTTTGTGGGAGTACAAGTCATGTCATTTAGTTTCTTCTTTTTATTCAATTACAATTACAAATTACTAGTAGGTGTCTTTATATTAAAAGGTTTCATGGACTTTTAGTTTTGAATTAAGCGTTTGTGTTAAATTAGGTGGTTAATTAGTTGGTATGTCTGAGTTTTTAAGACTGTTTTTTTTAATTAAATTACTTTTCAAAACGTCTGCAGAGTACGAGTAATTGTGTGTAAACAAAATTTAAATGTAGAGCAGTTCTTTAAATAAATATATTTAATAATTATTAATCAAGTGTAAGTAAGTAATCAAATAACAAATGTACGAAAACGAGCGAGCGATTTTGTTAAGGAACGTAGAAATTAACGATATTTATGTTTTTGTTTTTTTTTGTTTATTTGTTTGTTTGGCAATAATAAAAATTTACATTCAGGTGCCAATTAAATTTTTAACTAATCATTGTTTTAAATCTTTGTAAAAATATGTATATGAACAAATTGCTTTTCTAACAAATTACAGTCTTTAAAATTTAAAATTTTTAATTCAATGCAATAGGATCATCATCTGTTCTATTATTACCTGACAAATAGGAGCCTGTTTGTGGCGCAATATTAGATCGATTGTTTGTTTGGTTGATTGAGAATTAACATACAACAACAACAAATATTATTCAAGAATTTTTTTTTTGTAAAAAATATTTTATTTATCGTTAGTTAATAAATGTTTGCAAAATAAATATAGATAAAAAAAGATAAATTAATATAAAATGAAAAGAAATTTTATTAATTAAATATAATTTAATATAAATAAATTAAGGTGAAATTAAAAATTGAAATAATTTACAATAGTTTTGAGCACAAATTAAGAGAAGTAATTAAGATCTCGTTAGTTTGTAGTATTAATAAATACTTGAGATCTAAATTACAGTAATAATAACTTAGGAATTGATTTATTATTATAAATTTTCTGTTTTCGTATTTTTATAATTTTAATTAATTCTTTGATGATGTTAAAATTTTACTTTTTTTTTAATTATTTGATTGACATTTTTTAAGCAAGGAAATCAAGTCATTTAAATTTAGGAATTATTTAAAATTATAGTACATGCTCTGTGCCGAACAATGGTGATGCCCTTGCACTATCATATTCTGTAAGATACTTGTTGGATATGATGTAAATATAGCTTTACATTTATTTAGCAGGTTTCCTAAAGATTCAATAAAATATGGGCGACATAATACCGGCTGAACTAATCATTTCTTGTCCACTGCACATTTTTCAGGCCTGTCCCTCATGATTCTATATATGTATGTTAGATCAATTGATAATATGAAATGTGACATTTCCAAAGGAGAGAAATCTTCGCATACTTAGGCGGAAGAAGCCTTTAAACCTAACAGTCTGTTAACATTTCTGCTGAAAACATAAGAATAATTGATATCAGAGTGTCCTTGGATTCAGTATACTTCCATAAAGGGCAAGTTACTTAAGACGGTTTTACATTCATTGGTGTGATATATGGAAAACATCCTTAGAACGTTATTTTAACAGCTCTACACCAGTTTGGTATAGATCAGTCTACAATTAGTTCTAATATCATCAGTTCCAATATAGGAACGTTATAGTTAAAGAATGACAAAAAGGGATACAATTTAAGGTGACTGCACTGACCACAACATTCAGACTAAATGCAATAGGAGTATTTGTTTATTATCTCGAGGCTGGAAGAAAGTAACACGGATGGCTATAAACGTGCAGATACACTAGAGGCTGTAATTTTCAATCATAAGTTCGGGTTAAGAAGTAGTACATTACAGGCTGAAATATCAGTTGCAGACAGTTATACATACATATATCCTTCAACAAGATTAGTCCAAGAATGACGTTTTTGTAAGAGCTAAAACTATACAATAATATAGTTGGGAGGTTGTGCAACTTTGACTGAATGTGTCCATAAATCCATTGGACAAAGAGAAGTAGGGTTGGTTAAGCAGTTGAATATGTGGTGGGTATCGTAGGGACCTTGACCATATGTTTAACATTCATTGGAGACGGCACGGTCTATGTATATGCGGAACCAGTAGGCATTAAGCCTGTTGCTCCATACCGATCTTAGAACTACTCTTGTTTTCCACGGCAGGTTTTCTCCTGTGTCTGCTATGGGCGACATCCGAGTACGACATGTTGTGACCGTGGAATTGATGCCGTCTCTATGAATGTCGTTCAAAGCTGAGGTATACGAGGACTAATCTATTGGATCCTGCACATAACTGTAAATGTTTTCCAAGGTTATACGAAGGTCCTTCCTGACATACCTGGGGGGAGTATCCAAGTGTGTAATCTTAAATTTTGGATGACTTCCTCGGTGACATACCAGGAGGAAGTGTTTAGTCAACATGACATAGTGTTCATTAACTGGTAGAACCTTTGTTTCCACGTTTTGATGATGTTCCGAGGTAAGTTGTAAGCAGCCCGTTAGTCCTTAGGACAGCGTTTTGCCAGCTTTGAATGTTTCTATACAGGGTATCACTGAGTGAATGTGACTAAGCTGGAGCATGGTAATTAACCACTGACCGACCAATCGTTTTATTTATATGTAGCTAATAAGATTTGTTTATCCATACCCCAAGTGCTGCCGGCTAGCGCATTGAGGACGTTGTTGCTACTTCGCTATTTGTGCGTGATTGCAGTAGCATGAGCTGAGAAAGTAAATAGGCTGTCAAATGTGACCCCAAACTTTTTGGTAGGAATTTGAGCTCCATAGACTACGGCGTCAAGGGTTAAATTTACATTCTTCGTCAAGGTGGTAATCATAATTAAATTTTTTTCTTCAGACAACAATAACAAAAAGAATGCCGTAGTCCAGGAATTCTCATGTCCCATATGTACATAGACAATTTAAGCGGTAATCCCCTCAAAGTACATATGCCAACAAAATTCACAAAATGGTTAATCAACTCTACAAGGTGGAGTAATGAACCAACACACCCGGAAATGCAACCATGCAGGAAGACTTGGTTTGTTCGATAAAAATGGAAACTATTGACTATTTTCTCTGTCATAGTCTTACTCTAGGATACATCCGACTAAAATTCCTAGGAGAGAGATTTCTAGTGCAAAACTAGAAAAAAGGAATGCTTATGTAAGGCACTGTAACTGATAACACCCTAACTGCACTTAAATTGCCTGCATTTCTCTACCCTTTTCTAATACACCAAACATTTGATTTTCACAGTTTCTTTTATCATCTGTCTATATTCCTCTCCTCTTATTTCCTTAAAGTATCTTTACAGGTATTATAAAGGAATTAAAAGCGCCCGAGTGTGCTTTTTTCGGCTTTTCAGCACTTTCAGACTTGATTAAATCTTTAATGAAATGTTCAAATGTCCTTTGTTACATATAGTATACATAATAAAGGTCATTTTCTTTAATATTAGAAAACTTATAATAATAAATACCAAATAAAACGATTAAAGAGAAATCAAAAATTAAATAAAAAACAAATAAATAATATGAATGACATTTACTTAACGATCGATTGATTGATTGATTGATTGATAGATTGTGTAATGAATGTTTTGATAGTTAGATAGAAGAAGAGGAGAAACATTATTGTGATCATGTGTTGTGAGAAAAATTTGAAATGATTTTTTTTTTTTGTATTTTCCACAGCTTTAGTAGTATTAAAAAAATATATAAATGAAAGACATTCATACAAAAAGTAAAGCTAAATGCAAGTAAGCTGCACTTTTATTTTTATTTTGTATCGGAGCTCTAGCTGTGTTCTAAAAGAGTTGCAAAAAATATTAATTGATTGTCAGTTTATCAAAAAAGATGCTTGGTTTATATTTAAGACAAAAAAACTTAAGCTTAAGCATTTAATTAATATTTGTATTTTTTTTTTTAAGTTTGTATTATTTAACGTAACCAAAGTATTTTTAAACGTGTGACGGTGGTTGTGATAGGTGGGTGTAGTTGGAGGTGATAAGATGATTTCATAATATGTGTAAAGTGAAAAATAATTAAATAAATAAAATGTATCTTAAGTGTAGTTTAAAAGAAAATAATAAAATTGTAGGTTTTTTAAGTTTCCTTGGGAAAAGGTATTTGTTTTTTAAATAAGTAATAGAAATCTATTTAGCAATTAACGTTTTGTATTGAAATTGTTACAGGAAATTACTACATCTAATTAAGATGTTTAGTTATAAGTTTTCAATAGCTACTAAACTTGGTTACACTTCAAAAACCGAAAGTTGTTTACAGTTTAATTACTTTTCAAAATACTTTTCATTAATTTCTCTTTTACTTTCAAATTCAACATTATATTTAACTAGTGTTCTTATTAAATTAAGAAAATTCAGCCATATAAATGAATTTTCACATAAGTTTAAAATAGTTTTTTTAAACTAAATTAATGTAGTATCAAATTTAAATAAAAATTTATAAATAATTGAATGCCTATTTAAAAAAACTTTAATGCTAATAAATGTTCTTTAGGATAAATAAAAAAAATGTTTTGGTGATATTTGAAATAAAGGAAATAAACAAATTCTGTAAACAGGAATTAAATTTAAAAAACTTACCAATACCAAATGCTTTTCCTGGAGAATCATCATTGCTACCTTTACCGCCAAAACTATGACGTGAACGTGTTCCAAAATCTCTCATGGTGCCTGGTGTAGTTTGTGCTAAAATTTAATTGTTTATATTTATAAAAGATTTTTTTTTAACATTTTAACAATGTAATATATATATACCTGGCTGTGGTAAGAATTTTGAACCTAATGATTGATTCAAATCTACAAAGGATTCCGAACGTCCCACATTTAACAAAGATTCCATAGAAGCATCAAAACGCATAATCTATTGATAGAATAATGAAAATATCAAGATTAAAATAACATTCATTGGTAATTATGTTCTGTTATTTAAAGAAATTAAAATTATAAAAGTACAAAAATAACAACAACGCACATATAATGTTTTACACAAAAAGATTTAAAGATATAAAAAATAAATAATGAACACATATATTGCCAACTGAAATTATTTATTTGATTTGGATATATTACTTAACTATCTGATGAATATATCAATAGAATAAAGAAATAGAAAACCGATCGATGATAAAGAAAAGTAACCGACGATAAAGATTTCCATAGAAAACTTATCAATTATAAAACTGATGAAACTGAAACTTTTCTATTGAAAATTGATTAATGATAAAGTTCTCCCTAGAGAACTGATTATAAAGTTTTCAAATTAAAGTTTCCTACTGATCATTGAAATTTTTTTCGAAGAAAACTAATCAAAACTGAAAGTTTTCTATTGAAAATTGATTTTAAAAAAAAAAAAAACTGATCAAAGTTTTCTACTGATCAAAGTTTTCGATCATTCACAAAGTTTTCAATAGAAAACTGATCGATAGTAAAGTTTTCATAGAAAACTGATTGATAATAAAGTTTTCCATAGATAACTGATCGATAATAAAGTTTTCCATAGATAACTGATCGATGACAAACCATTCCATTGAAAACAGTTTTCTTGGAACTGATAAATAATATAGTTTTCTATAGAAAACTGATCAATAATATAGTTTTCATTAGAAATTTTTTCGAATATAAAGTTTTTTATAGAAAACTGATCGATGTTAAAGTTTTCTATAGAAAACTGATCGATGTTAAAGTTTTCTATATAAAACTGATCGATGTTAAAGTTTTCTATAGAAAACTGATCGATGTTAAAGTTTTCTATAGAAAACTGACCGATGTTAAAGTTTTCTATAGAAAACTGATCGATGTTAAAGTTTTCTATAGAAAACTGATCGATGTTAAAGTTTTCTGTAGAAAACTGATCGATGTTAAAGTTTTCTATAGAAAACAGATCGATGTTAAAGTTTTCTATAGAAAACTGATCGATGTTAAAGTTTTCTATGGAAAACTTTTCCATGTTAACGTTTCTATAGAGAACTGATCGATGTTAAAGTTTTCCATAGAAAACTGATCGATGTTAAAGTTTTCTATAGAAAACTGATCGATGTTAAAGTTTTCTATAGAAAACTGATCGATGTTAAAGTTTTCTATAGAAAACTGATCGATGTTAAAGTTTTCTATAGAAAACTGATCCATGTTAACGTTTCTATAGAGAACTGATCAACGATAAAGTTTTCTATTGATAATGATAAAGTTTTCTTTATACAACTGATTAATGAGAAAGATTTCTTTATAAAACTGATCAATAATAATGTTTTCTTTAGAAAGCTGATCGACAATAAGATCGATCATAAACCAAAAACTGATCAATAATAGGATTTTTGATAGAAAACTAATAGATTATAAAGTTTTCTATAGAAACTGATGGATTGATTATAAAGTTTCCTTAGAAAACTGATCGACAATAACATCGATGATAAACCAAGAACAGATCAATAAAGGAGTTTTTGATAGAAAACTTCTCGATTATAAAGTTTTATATAGACAAAAAATCTATGAATAAATTTTGTATATAAAACGGATTAATGTTAATAACCTAAAAAACTTAATTAAATGATCATTCATCGAGATAGCAAAGTAATAATAATTTCCATAAATTAAAAGAAATAAAACAACAATGAACACATTAAATATTGTTAATTTGTTTAGTTGATTGATTGTTATTTTTCATGTGTACTTACTGTTCCAGGATTTGGTGTTTCTTTAACCGCCTTTTTATTTTATAATTTTCGAATAAAAATTTAGTGCGATTTTTTTTTGTTTTGAATATAATTTTTGAATGGAATTTTCGTTTAACAATATTAATGTGTGACGCAATAGGTTTGTTAGATTTATATATTAATTGATTGATTATTATTTTTAGTGGTGAATTGGTGGGTATTGTTTATGTTCATAAGATTACATTTGATTAAATTAGTTTTTGTTTTGTTAGGGTGGTGAATAATTAAAATTGTTTTAAAAACCAATTTTTATTTCAGGGTGAGCACAAAATACACATTGAATATATTTATTTTTTTGGTTATAGTTTTCGTTAAAGTGAAAGCACAAAAGAGGTGAGAGAAAGAATAATTTTAGAAAAAACAATTTAGAGTTTTTAGTAAACAAAAATCATTATAAAAGTTAAAATTTTTTAGAAAATAAACAGTTATCCCAATTAGAAATAGAAAGACAAATATTATTATATATATTTTTAATTATAAGAATTGTGTTAATTTTGTTTTCTATTCTTTTGTGTTAAAGCATAGACAGCAGAATAAGTCTGCGGCTACATTTAGACAAGTTACAAAGTAAGTATAGAGGATTTATCATGAGGACAATACACACCTGTGAGAAGTTGGGTACACTGCAAGTTTTGCGCATAGTTAATGGTTGGCCATGGGCAGTTTCCAGTTCTTTAACGGCCACATTTTGTCTTAAACGATCCAAAGTTAAAATACTTTCTACTGCCGAGACGCCACGTGTATATTTTTCTATTGAATAAAATAAACAAATTATAGGGATTTTTTTAATAAATGTGTTAATATTAAATGGCTTCCTACCTATATAGGTTTCACCATCACTAGCTGAACAATCATCTCCACTGGCGGCCAATTGAGCCAAAGATTCACGATCTTCCAACTCTTCGGAAGCTTTGGGTATATTCGATACAACCTCATAGGTAACGCCTGTACAGGCAATAGTATTTTCAGTCCTTACTAAACGGAATTTTTTCAAACGATCTGTTATGCTTGGACCCTTTTTAATGTTAATACAGAGACGTTTGCGCAATACCAAATCCATGGGTGCTGGATGTGATAAACGCACTGTGGTGCGTAAAATCAAATAGACGCGTTCATTTGCCTCGGTTACACGATTCAAGGCGGGACTGTCATGCATTGAAGAGTCCCAACTGGATATTGCACAAACATCTTTATCCAAGTGTTGTAAGATTTGTAATGTATAGAATTTGTGTCCATGTTCTTTGGAGAGTATGGAATTTATACCAGCAATAGAAAATTCATCGTTAGTATTTTGAGCTGAGAGATCATCGGCATTTAGATTAAGGAATAAAACTGGTACATGGGGTTCCATGCCAGATGGTGGATTCCAAGAAGCCGGAGCTCCAGGTATACCCGAACCAGGTGCTGGTACTAATACCGCATTACGTTCTTCGGTTAGTGACACCCATTGATGTACTAAACTTAATTCTCGTTCACGTTCTTCTTCGGTTTTCTCCTCTTTTTTAATGAGTTTTTGTATTTGTTGATCGAGATATTGGCGTCTTCTGCCTAAAGCCTCACTCCATTTTTCTCTTAATATGGTAAGATCTTCTTCTTGATAAGAATCTAGGGCTCTTTGCAAACGTGAGCGTACGGTGACACTACCAATAGCTATATTAACTATTGACTGGCAAATTATGGGCAAAGTGCCGGAATTTTGTACGGGCTTGACACGTACATGTACGCGGCGTTGTTGACCCTGACGCAACTGATAGATGCCTCCGGTTAATACTTCTGTAGGATTGGATACTTCCACCGGTGCATATTCACCATTATCGTTGAGTTCATGAATTTCCACCCATAACTCTATTTTACGCGATAGTTCAGCCCAACGATCCACCAAGGAACGTGCCTTGGCCTGTTGTTGCTCCACTTCCCAACCTTTGGATTTGGAGAAACCAGCACTACGATGACCCCAGACCTCAATTGAAAGAGCACCTTCTATGCAATGTTCCAAGAATTCTTCGTTTATGGTCACGGTGAAATCCTTGGTGTGTTCAAATTTAAAAATCATATTCTGATCTCTAGGCGTAGTTTCGGCATTAATGACGGGTACCACAGTTTCCTGATGACCCCAAAATGTATATTGGCAAAAAACAAAGTTGGACAAAGATAACGGCAAGCCAGAGGCGCATTTAATGGTAACACGACATGTTACTTGATTGGCCATAGGATCGGGAGCATCTTCATAATCATCTCGTGAGTCCGAAGAGGATTCCGATATTGATTCACACATACGATCTTGGGGCATTTGACCGGCAATACGTTGTATTTCGACCTGAAGTCGACCAGCAACTTCACCTTGTTGACTTATAATGGGTGTATGATAATCCAATTTCACATCATGGAACAACACTTCCAAGAAAATGTTAGCTACACCAATTAAATTGTGATTTTCTTGTGACTCATAGAAGGGATCTAAACTTTTAGAGTTTTCATTTTCCTGTAAACAAATTGCACAAAATTTTAGCCATAATATTAACAATTTATAAAAGAAATGAATAGCATGATAAGAGCAATGGTATATTTTTATTTTTTAATAATTATATGAAATTACCTCGTCGGAATCTTCCTCATCTGAGAAGGTCTCAATGAGAGGCTTTTGTGTTGCAATTAAATGAGTATAAAACAATGAAATAGAAGGAAGTGTTAGTAAAATACACGTGACAGCCGGTAATAATATATTTTATACAGTTTGAGGGACTTAAAGTAGAGAGTGTGAGAGACTAGTCCAAGTTTATACAGCATGCAAATATAAGGGTTTATTGGAAAGTTGTTTCTTGTAGTTTTTACCAAGGTTGGCAACCGTTTCGAAACGGTGATAAGGTAGCGGTATCGGCATTTTGAGTTATTTAGGTATTGGTATTTTAGCGTTATCGGTATTTTGGCTTATTTCGGTATAGGTATTTTAGCGTTATCGGTATTTTGACTAATTTAGGTATTGATATTTTAGCGTTATCGGTATTTTGGTTTATTTCGGTATTGATATTTTAGCGTTATCGGTAGTGTACAAAAAATATATTTTAGCGGTAATTTCAGTATGATTTAAATAACTAACAAGTATGAAAGTATAGTCGGGCATGGCCGACTATATTGTACCCTACATCATGGGTATATTTTAAAAATTATTTATTTTTCATAAAAAAAATATTATGTTGAATTTTACCTTAATTCCGATGTATTAAAGCAATTTATTGATGAAAAACAAAATTTTTAAAAGAAGCTTTTTATGGGAGTTAGGTTTAAATATGGGCAGATACTCAACAAATTGGGAAGAGGGATGTTAGTTATGCAGAATTTCATCACTAATGGTTACAAGTCAATTTTTGGACGTTTAAGATATTTTTTAAAGGGGGGTTGTATGGGGGCGGCCGATCATTATAAAAATTGGCATAGTCGTTTATGCCTCTATACATTTTTGGTGAGATAGTAGTATATTTGACATAGTTATGAGTTAAAAACCCCAAACCGGTAGGTGGTGGGGGTAGTTGAATTAATGGACTTTGAACTTTGTCACTGGTATCTTCATGCCTAGGAAGCAGGGTTCAGTATACGTAGAAATTTTTATCTTTCTTGTGAAAAGACAGATTTTAACATTGAGGCCTCTCGGTTGAGCCCAGCTCAAGGCCGTATTCAGAGCCTCCACAGCTCTTTTACATAAGTTATTTGGATCCTTTCCATTTAAAAGTATTACGACATCATCTGCATAGCAGTTTTAAGTCCTTTATCAGTTAGGGTCCTTAGGAGGCTATTAATCGTGATAACCCAGAGTAAAAGTGACAAAATGCCACCCAGTAGTATACCGCGAAATACCTTTTTCCTGATAGTTATATCGTACATATCGCAGCTTATCCATCTGTTCCTTGGATGTAGTTCATCCAGTTAGATCGGTATACTTTAAAGTGGGTGTAGGTCCAATATTTTTATGCGTTACAAACATCAGCACAGATGCAAAGTACTTATTTATCCTAGTCCCCATACAACCAGAACTTCCGATTTGGGATTTTTAACTCGAAACTACGTCAAATATACTACTATCTCTCCAAAAATTGGCACAATTAAGTTTTATATAGGAATAAAAGCAATCTCGATTCGGCTATGCCGAATCTTAAATATCCTTCACCAGCAAGCTACTTTTTATTAAAACCCATTTAACTATCTAATTTTTACATAACTTCTCAAAATTTTTGTTTCCGTAGTGAGGGTACTAATATTTATGCATATGTGGAACTAATTTCGATTAGGTTCATAAAATTTTATATTAAAAGGCCTGTTGCAAACATTTTAATATAATGATTTATCTATACAAAACATACTCATGTCGAATTTTATCTGGATATAATCATTTAGTAATGAATTAAGTGGTATTAAGTGATTTTCAGAAGTAAAATTCCGTATAACGATTTATATATACAAAATACACATTTATGTCGAATTTGATCCCGGTGACTTTGATTGTCAATGTGCGTTTAAGTAATTTTCGGAAATGATCTTTATATGGGAGTTGTGACCAATTATGGACCTATCAAGAAAAAATTTCGTATAATGATGTATATGCAAACAAAAAATTCAAGTCGAATATTACTCCAATAGATTTATTAATGAATTATTAATGAAAGTGGACCTTATATAGGAGCTATGACCAATTACGGTCCTCTCCAGAAAAATTTCGTAGAGTGATTCATATGTATGTACACAAAACTTATTTGTGTCGAATTTTATCAAGATAGCTTTATTTGACAATGGAATATTTGAGTTTAAATGATTTTCGGAAGAGGGCCTTATATGGGAGCTAGTATGATTTCTATTCATATTATAGTTTTATGTACAAAATTTTGTGTTGATACCGATATTTTTGAGGGAGTTATTAACGATAAACTAATTTCCGGGAGTATACACCTTTGTATGGGGGCTATGGGAAATATTGGATCAATTGAACACACTTGATCCCTGGCACAAAAAAGTAATGTGCGACAAAATTCATCGAAATATCTGTGGTAGTTTCTGAGAAAACTACTTCAGAATTGGGAAAAAGAACGTTATTTTTTTCGATGTAGTCTGAAATTTTTACTCATAACTTTTTACATCGTGAACCGATTTTACTGATTTTCAATACCAAACTGTACCGGATAATAAAGAACGTGTTGGGTGAATTTTCGTGCTTAATTTTAACGTGCGCGTGTTTTACACAGACAAACAGACAGACCGACGGACAGACGACTCAGAATTTCATAAGGATCAAGAATATATATACTTTGTTGGGACAAAGTTATATATACCCTCTATCACCACTGATGGTGGTGGAGGATATAAAGATATCTTAAACGTCCAAATATTGATTTATAACCATTAGTATCGCGATTAAACTCAGCAATTCAGAAATACATCCCTCCTTTTTTGATGGTGGGTATAAAAAGAAGGTTGCCATTGTTTGAGGAAGAAATGAAAAATCGCCAGTGATATTAACAATATTAATAAAGTGAATATTTACTTACTTTGGAAATTTTATTTCTTTTTAATAAGATATCGGTATTGGTATTTTAGCGTTATCGGTAATTTAGCTTATTTCGGTATTGGTATTTTAGCGTTATCGGTATTTTAGCTTATTTCGGTATTGATATTTTAGGGTTATCGGTATTTTGGCTTATTTCGATATGGGTATATTAGCGGTAACGGTAGTTGTGCTGAAAAGGTATTTTAGCGGTAACGATAGCTTAGCGATAACGGTTGCCAACCTTGGTTTTTACTTAAATAACTTAGTTAAGTTATCTTTACAACTTTTCTAATTCCCTCTTATTGAGAATTATTATTTGAAAATACTTACCAAACCATTTAAGACGCGTTCCTTGTGTTCCTGATACATTTCTCTCATATCAATTAGTTTATTTTCCAATTTCTCCATACTCCAAATCTGACTACCCGAATTTAAACGTTTCACTAAAATGGCCGGTTCACTTACAAAAGCGCCACGCTAAAATTATAAAACATAGTTTTTTACTACTAAGAAGCAATAATAAATCTATTTGCGTACCCTTCTATTGGGACTTAAATTAGCGGGAGGAATTTGTAGAGTTACAGAGAACTTAGTTTTCTTTTCCATTTCCTCGGCAAGAAAATTGGCTTCTTGTACTAAAGCATTAGCTCGCATAATGTCATTCTTCAATTGACCTAAAGAACGTTTAAACATTTCATCGCGTTCTTGAGCCCATTTTTCCACACGCATTTGCGAGGTGGGTGTATTGGGTGTAATTTTACCCAAACGCAAAGGATCGTAGGGAGTATAGGGTGCATAGGGAGTACTGGGCGATAAAATATTGCGTAATTGCTGAAATTGTCGCTCATATTCCTAAAAATCGAAACAAATATTTTAAATAAACAATTTGATTTAATAATAATCCCCTGCTAAACTTACTTGTCTTTGTTTTTCCAATGCCACCTGTTTATCTTCCTCATGCTGACGTTCCAGTCGCGCTATAGCAGTTTGTATAGGATCATTACTTAATTCATTTTGCATAATTTCATCCCGAGCAAAATTATAATCGATCAATTGAGCCGGTGTCTGAGGTTCCGAATTCATATTGGCATTAGCCGATTTGGGACAATTTACACGGAAAAAATGATGATTACCCCATAAGATACGATCACCATTAGCTATGGGAGTTTTTTCGACGGCTGCATAGCCATTTACAAAACAACGTGCTCCAGGGAATGGTTCCAAAAAGAGACCACCATCTTCTATGGTAATGACACAATGTTCGGGTTGTATACCCAAACCCGATAGTTGTATATCTGGCTGAGGACCACTTATAGTATGGCCACCGATTAAAGTACGTTCTTTAAGATAGTAAACTAACAACTCATTAAGGGACGGATCTGCATTTAAATTGACTAAATAATATTTGTTTTTCTCCACCATAATACCGCTAGCTTGTACACTAATGCCCATCTTTTCCAAAGCCTGTTGACGCTCATTTTGTATGCGTTCAGTTTTAACCAATTTTTCTTCCCAAGTTTGAGAGATTTGTTTCATTAAATTTTCACTTTCAGCCAATTTATCATTGATATCACCCACTGGTGAACCAGTGGCATGTTTAAGCATATTTCTCAAAGTCTCCACTTCATGGCGTAGTTCACGAATAATACGAGCATTAGGATCCTCATTGACTACAGCATGATTGACAATACGTTTAGCACGATCGGCATAACGTAAAGTAGACAAGGTTTCTTCAAAATTATCAGCCGAGGGAGATATTGTGGCCACCATCACGGTACGAGAGTTGCCACCTAAGTTGTCTTTTAAAAGCCATGTTAACACAGAATCACGATAGGGAACAAATTTATCTCCACCACTCTTTTTGCCATTAGATTGATCGGCCAATTTTGATATAACCAAACCCAAAGTAGTAAGTGATCTTTAAAAAGCAAATTATAAATATAGAGTTTTGTGATTGTAATTCAACAAACTTACTTATTAATATTTGAACCCTCTTTCAAACGATCACCCACAGCACCTGTTTTAACAGCTCTTTCAGACCCAGCCAAATCCACCAGAGACATGCGTGACACCTTTTCACCAGTCACACCCGAAGCCTGATCAGTTAAAATCTGAGTTAATACTACTGAGAACACAGCATGAGATCTAGATGATTCGGCATTCATATTTGTAGCAGCCACAGTACGTGATTTATTTCCCTCAGTCATAAGATTATCAATATCTTGATATGATGCTACCGCCAATTGAGACAAACCGTCCACATAGGGACCCAATACATTGTGCTCACGCACCTTTAAAGACTGTTTATTTGGTTTTGGATCTAAGAGATCATGAACTTTTTCATTATATATTTCCATATAGGATACTTCCACTTTGTACATAAGTTCTTGAGTGGATTTATTGGAAATGGCCGAAAATAAATTATCACACAAACGCGGAATGATACCTTTGGATTCTTGAGTACCCATCATGGTATATGATTTACCCGAACCTATAACAAAACATTAACAATTAAAATAAAACAATGAAAAATGATAAATAAATGAATTTTAATGGTAAAATAAAATCGAGTTCTTTATTGCGTATGCAACGGGCATACTGCACACTTACCAGTTTGTCCATAGGCAAATATGCAAGCATTATAACCTTGAAATGCATTATCCAATATATCACGTCCCACACAATCGAAAACAGTCTCTTGTGAAGCAAAATTCTCATCATTTGGATTTAATGAATAGAAACAATGATCAAATGCAAATGTCTTGGGGGGTTTCCGGCTGTAAAATGAACAAAATGAAAAGATGAGCAACTTTTTAGATTAAGTTACATTTCCTGGGGTAACAAACCTTTCTATTTTATCTATGGCCGGAGGATTGTGCAGAATTGTCTGCTGTTTTTCCATTTCCACAATACATTTTGTGCCTAATTCGATTTCTGAAACAAATAAAGAGAGATTGAGATTATAATAAATATTAATAATAGTAATAGTTGTATTATGATAACAAATTAAATTTTAATAAAAGTCGTATTAATTTAAATGGCTTTGAAAATTAAAGTAATTATTCCCCTGTTACCGAGTACGATACTAATCGCAAGTGTTTTCGTATTTTTAAAAATTGTTCATGAATAATAACAATAATCGAGGGAAATTAAAAACATTTCGAAAAATATATAAAAGGTCTATATATACATATAGTTGAATTTTGCATAAATTTAGAATTAAAATTTTGTATTTATAACCTTTCAAAAATAATCTTTATCTAATAACTTTTGTCTAGAAACCAAAGGTTTATACATTAAGCTCCTTTTATTTGTTTTCCATCTCTTTTTTTCTATTTGTTAAATAAAAATTTTACATTTATTCATTTTTATTTTCATTCCCTTTTTTCTGCTGTTTGTTTAAATTTTCATGATTTAACGTTCATTGAACTTTTCTTTGTTATCACTAAAAAACCGTATTGTACTCAAAGCAATATTATGTTTGCCAATTTTTGGGAGAAATATTTTATGTGTGACAGCAATCTAGTGCTGAAATGTCAGACTTCTATACTGTGGCCATCTCGAAAGGTTCAATTGATTTACAAATAGAAAAAGAAGCAGGTCGTATATTTAGGTATGTGGTCATACTGTCTAATATGTTTTTCTTATGTTACATTATAAAGATAAATTGTAAAATTAGTGTTTTTCGTTATGTTTTTGTCTACTTCTTCAAATGTGTTCTTTCTATGTTTAATTCGCAGAAAAAAATTAGTACAATTTTTACAAAATTTTATTAAATGTGGAATTTTAGTTTGATTGCAAGATTGAATTTGCAATCATGAATACATCAAACATTGCTTTATTATATGCAAAAATTTTAAGTTATGTTCGAAAAGAATTTAAAGCTAAAACATTTTCGAGAATTTTAATTTATGTACGAACTATTTGTAATGTAATAATTTTGAACCCGATCCCGTTACCCGAAAAACGACGCTAATATGCTTTCTGTTATGGAACATAACATCATGCTATCAAAGCAGTTCCTACTGGGATGTCATCTAACGGAGTTAGAAACCAACCACACCCACCACCCCCTTCCCCCAAGCATGTCTGGAAAGATATTCGTCTGTATGAGTGCGACATCAAAGAACACCTGGCATATATGTATGATGAAAGCTCATACAATACTATCCACCGAAAAGCGGTGGAAGACTCCATTACTGGGAGGTCGTCCCCCACCCATTGTAAATGAGGAACGAAACCTACCACGTCGTACTAGAGTTGTATTGGCACAACTTAGATCGGGATGGTGTACTCGTTTAAACTCGTACTGGTCGAGAATATATGACACCATTCAAGATCTCTGCCTTGCGTGTGGCACAGACTCACACAATGTTCGCCATATTTTCAACTGCAGGGCAAATCCAACTCAGCTGGAATCTGAATTCCTTTGGATTCAAACGATAGATGCGGCTCGTCTACTGGGTTTAGATCTAACTGATTTATTTGGATAACCAGAGGGAACATGAGGACACATATGTAAGTATAGTACAATAATAATATGTTGTTTGGTCTCTCTCCAACCCGATGAAGAAGGATGGCAGGGACGCCATTAAGTTTACTGATACCACTGCAATGAACGGTGCTAGCGTGATTCTGTCGGGATTTTATTAAGTACCTAGAGCAGTGATGCTCAAACACATACTACCATAGACTACCATAGTTTTATTTGTGTTGGTAAAGCAGCAGAGAACAGAATTCAATTCAAAATAAAAGTATACTAATAAAATGACTACAAACTATAAAGTATATGCTAACTGTCAAATATTTATTATGGATTTTGACAGCCAGTGTATAGCAACGTCTATATATAAAAAACTATCAACTGTTCTCTCATGTTCTCCTACATTCATTCGGCTTTCTCAACATTTTGTTGTTGTATTTCTGTGTGTATTTTAAAAACGTCGCGCACAGACCTTGCTTTGACAAGTGCTAATCAGCAACTGATTTGATTTTGTTTTTCAAGTTGAGAGCAAACCAACTGATATTGCTCATTATAAAAAGAAGAAGAATTAAACCTGTAGTGTATGTGTATCAACTTAGCGTCAGCAGAATTTTCTTACCCTATCACGCGTGCTATGACACGGCCATATTGAGCTTCTCTGACCTAGAGTGATATGGCGAAACGATGTGTTGTTCGCAAACTTAACAACTTTTCAGTTCATACACCTCTTCTGAAGTAGCAGAGACCATTAACGCTGCCAAACCATCCATACTGATGCATCTTGGCGCGTTGAGTACTTTGACTGACAATGGTTTTCAACCTATCAACGGGTAGATTTAAAGTGATACTCAAAACGGGGAAGAACGTGTCCCGCGTGCCAATATTCTTCCTGTCACCAGATGCTAAGCCTTTTGAGGCTCCCTCCCCAGCTGTCCTGGCACATAGAAGCAATGGATTACCACCACTAAAATAACCGCCATATCATAGGATTTAAACCAACATTATGATAGAACAATATTAGTGGCGCTGGACTTGTTAAAGATCTTCGTTACAGTCGGCTACACCACAATCTTTCAGGAGAGATGAATAGTGAATTATCTAATTGGTCGTCAGTCGTTTGTAAAGTTTAGAGACAAAAGCTCAAACCCCCGATGAGTTAAACAAGTTGTAGCCCTATTGTTTTCTTCTACCTCTCTAAATTCTCAACACCTCCTCTAGTAGTGCAAGAGATCTCATATTCGGATGACAATTATTGCGACATGTCAAAGCGTTGATGAGCTATGTGATTTAGGAAACGGTTATCTCGGAGAAATATACAATTGCTTATGCAAGCAATGCTGAGTAAAGAGTTTCTCCTGGGATGTCACCGCAGGAGTTATCCTATCTTTAATATTACATATTTGGATGTTCCCCCGGGGAATGTTAGAAAGTATCTTTTTGTATACGAGGTAACCTTAAGAATTATGTACAAAATCCCTTAGATTGGAACGACAATATAGAAATACCAATTTTAAGCGACAACAGGTAACCTCCTGAAAGCTGTACATAGAGGTAGCCCACCGACTATATTAGAAACAGAGAAAAACATTCCTAGGAAAGCAATAGTAGCTCTGGCACAACTAAGATAGGGAATGAAAATCAGATGCATTGCAAACTGATCTGGAACAGACCGTGCCTGTGTCCCCATGATACACAGTGGTATAGGAAAAAAAAGAGGGAAATAATTCGGTAACTTCTAAACGGTTAATCCGATTTTAATGAAATTTGGTATGCACAAAGAGGAGGTGTTGTCGAGTTTAGGTTTTGAATTTGGACCTTATAGGCCAACCAGGGGCCCGGGGGGGGGGTGGTCCTCAAATTAGGACACCTCGGCTATGTTAAATTTTTAAAACGATCCTATTTCTTCATTTGAGTTCCGATTTAAAAAAAAATTTTAAAATTTTTACCGTCCTTACTTTAGTTTTTTTGATAATAGCGGGTCCAAATATAATACTCTTTGTGCATACCAAATTTCATTAAAATCGGATTAACCGTTTAGAAGTTACCGAATTATTTCCCTCTTTTTTTTTTCCTATACCACTGTTTGATATTCATATTTATATATACAACTGTGCAGATCCTACTTTACTTGGTCAAATGAATATAGACTATTTTTTTAGAAGTATAAAAATATGTGAAAGACTTGATGGGATTGTATTTCTTATTAAAGAATTTATATTTTCATCCACTTACTCTTCTTCGGTTATTCCTTATTTTGTTAAGGAAACATTAAAACGTCTTTTATAATTAAGTATACCCAATAATTATTTACATATGAATAATTTTTACGCCAACTAAGTCTTAACTGACAACTGTCATATGTAATAAAAAATCTAATGATTTTGACAGAAAGCATAAAAAGTTTCTTAACCCAAATTTTGGCTAAAAAGTAGCTCAAGTGTAAATTTTCGCAAGATACCAATAACATGCTTGGAATGATTTGATTACACAACAAATTTAATTAAAATTTTAATTGAAAAAAAAAAAAAAAACATGGAAATTGAGAAATTGTATTTGTTTTAATAAAGATAAATAAAGTTTTTTAACAAAATGAAAATTTGGGCGTTTTTAAAACAATATTTACTTTTAGTTTTGTAAGTCGTTACAGAAACAAAATTGTAACCATAAAGTTTGTTTATATATATCAAAATGAAAAAGAAAGTAATATTAGTCATTTGAATTTTTCTTAGTAAATGGTTTAACAAAATAAAATTAAGTACCTTAAACAAACCCTTCAGAAACTTTGTTTAAATCAAAGTCAAATGTTATTTATACAAACATATTTTGTTGTTGTTTTGTTCATGATACTTTTTGGTTTTAAACAAAAAACTTGGCCTTTGATGACGACACAAGACTCATTCGTCCAATTGAAATGAACGGTGGTGAGCTGATGTGGTGGTGCTTAACGAACATGAAACATGAAATGAACCTGTTTTTAGTGGCAAACAAATGATTCTTTTTTATTAATTCCTCCATTCCGTTCATTTTTGTTGTTTTTTTCTTTTGGTTTCTATACAAAAACCTACAACTTCAGGTTTTTCTTGTTAAAACATTTTATTACCATATAGATTTTAACTTTTTTTTTTGTTTTTATTTTGGAGAATATAACGTAAGAAATAATAGACTGATAGATGGTTTCATAGGTTGTTGGTGGGATTTCTGTCTGATTGAAGATGGCATTATAGTATAATAATGTTTATGTTTAAGTATTGTATGATGTTATTTTCTATTTTCATCATATTTATTACAAAAGAAGAAGCTTTGACCTCATCGATTTAAAAAAAAGTAAATAAATATGTAAATATGAATTTAAAGTAACCAAAGAGAATGAAATTATAAATAATATTAAATAAATAACAAACAAAATATAATAGAAAATGAAATTTTAAATTATTGTTGGTAAATATCTATT